CCATCCCCCCACAGAATACCCCACCAGGAACCCTCAGTTTGCTCTCTGTATTTAAAAGTCTCTTATGGTTTGTCTCCCTCTCTGTTTTTATCTTATTTTTCCTTCTCTTCCCCTATGTTCATCTGTTCTGTTTCTAAAATTTCACATATGAGTGAAATCATATGATTATTTGTCTTTCCCTGACTGACTTATTTCACTTAGCAGAATATACTCTAGTTCCATCCACATTGTTTCAAATGGCAAGATTTCATTCTTTTTGATTGCCAAGCAGTATTCCATTGTATATATATATATATACACCACATCTTTATCCATTCATCAGTTGATGGGCATTTGGGTTCTTTCCATACTTCAGCTATTGTCGATAACACTGCTATAAACATTGGGGTGCATATGCCGCTTCAAATCAGCACTCCTGTATCCCTTGGATAAATACCTAGTAATGCAATTGCTGGGTTGTAGGGTAATTCTACTTTTAATTCTTTTAGCAACCTCCATACTGTTTTCCAGAGTGGCTGCACCAGTTTGCATTCCCACCAACAGTGCAACAAGGTTCCTCTTTCTCCGCATCATTGCCAACATGTTGTTGCTTGAGTTGTTAATTTTAGCCATTCTGACAGGTATGAGGTGGTATCTCACTGTGGTTTTGATTTATATTTCCCTGATGATGAGTGATGTTGAACATTTTTTCATGTGTCAGCTGTCTGGATATCATCTTCGGAGAAGTATCTATTCATGTCTTTTGCCCATTTCTTCACTGGATTATTTGTTCTTTGGGTATTAGTTTGATAAGTTCTTTATAGATTTTGGGTACTAACCTTTCTCTGATATGTCATTTGCAAATATCTTCTCCCATTCTGTCAGTTGCCTTTTAGTTTTGCTGATGTTTCCTTCGCTGTGCAAGAAGCTTTTTATCTTGATGAGGTCCCAACAGTTCATTTTTGCTTTTGTTTCCCTTGCCTCCAGAGACGTGTCAAGTAAGAAGCTGCTGTGGCCAATAATAAAAATTTAATGAAGCGTAAAGATAATGCACATGGGCAGCAGGAACGGAATAAGAAAATATCAAAATATCGGTTTGGCACTAAAAATGGCTGCTTACTATCAGGAGACAGAACCACAGCTCATCTTAAGGCAGAGCTGCCCACCCAGTGTGTCTTGGCATCAGAAAGGTTACAGATGTGCCACGAAAACATTGATCCCTTCAGTCTTGAGATGGCTGGATGCGCTGGGAGGCCAGAGCATTGGGAAGTGGTCTCTAGCTGTGAGAAGCCTACCCAAGGGCTCCTCAAAGGGTAGCCTGGCTGAGTCAGAGTCTGACAGTGTACCCTCCAATCCCCAAAGGAGGCAAGTACAATGGTGGTGTTTACCATGGGCTGAGTGGAAGCAAGGAGGACATTTACTTCTGCAGCCAGCTGGGAGTGTGAGGCTGCCAGCTGCAGGCAAGGGACCCCTGGAGATGCCGGGAGGGTTGGCGTTCCAGGATGCCCGGGACAGGGCATGCAGCCCAGAGTGCGGCCAGCCAGAGTAGGCATGCTGGAAGGCCAAGTAGGTTTTCCAGGTGGAGGCAGCTCCAGAACTTGCACTTTGAATGCATCAGGCACTTCTGTGTATTTGTGGCTGATGTGCCCTTTTAATGGTGACCAACCAAGCAGCAGGGCGACTTCTTTAACACGTAGGCTTTTTGAAGATTAGAGCTTCAACATCTTCGGAAATATTTGATATTGAAAGAATTCAAGTGGATTCAAAATTTATTCTCATTAATCTAGAAATTTCAACATTATATTTGTCGGTAAGGAAAAAAGAAGAGCTGGTGAATTTTTAAGATATAATTTCAGTAGTTGTAAAAAAAATATGGCTTTACATTTTGATTGCCTTCTTGTACAAACTTTGTGCAAACTTTATAATTACTTGATAGTAATTATCAAGAATGCAAATACTGTATGTCATCGTTTTAAAAGATTTGATCAGGAAATGTGTGTCATTTTTTCAAGTATAAAGCCACATATAAACAAGTTTTGTTTAGGGACGCCTGGGTGGCTCAGTCAGTTAAGCGTCGGCTCAGGTCATGATCTCATGGTCCCCAGGTTCGAGCCCTGAATCTGGCTCTGTGTGCCCAGAGCCCGCTTCGTATCCTCTGTCGCCCTCTCTCTCTGCCCCTCCTCTGCTCACACACTCTCTCCCTCTCTCAAAACTAAACAAGCATTAAGAAAAAAAAAAAAAAAAGTTTTGTTCATGGAATCTAGCTGAAATTTCTCCTGAAAAGTTTGGAAGTTTCAGGCACAGTCAGTATTTAGTATTTTTCTTAATGTAAATATATCATATTTACATCACATAAATAAATGTAAAGAAATATAAGAACTATAAAGCAATGTTCTTACCAAGCCCTTTACAGATAGAGCCAAGTCACGTCCATGTTACTCTAGTGTAATTACACTAATATATCATCATTTTCTGGCTGTGCTGACATGGAAAATGTTGGGAAGTAGTCCCCAAAACACCTTTTACTACTAAAAAACATTCAACCATTTTTACTGCAGGCAAGTCCAATGAGTATGTGGGCAGGAAACAATGTGCTGTAGGGAGGATGAGTTTGGGCAAAAAGAAAACAGTGAAAGAACAAGGGTATCCCCACAAACTACAAGGACACCAGCACTAGGACAGGACCTTCCTTCTTTTTAAATTGTCGAAGACACACAACTTGATTTTGCCAGGCGGAAAGGAAAGACCAACAGGTGAGACTTAACCGTCGCAAAGTCAGAATAAACATTTGTACTTTATTTCTACCATCGAATATGCGGCATATGAAAAGTGGCACAAGCAAACCTGAGTGTCATGCCCAGCAAGGCCAGGAGGAATTCATGAGAGAGGCCAGTTATTCTGGCTGCCTGGTCACTGCCTTTATCCACCAGCCTGAACCTTCCTTTCAGATCATCTTCTCAAATTATCCATAGGAGATTTATCCACATACTCAATAAGAAAAATATTTCTAATTATATCCAACCATTCTTAATATGAATGAGAATTATGCAGGGGCGCAAGATTGCCAAGACTTTTCTGCCAAACAATTCCTTTTGACTTAAGAAAGAACAGGCAGCTGCATTGTTTCCATAGCTCTCCATATAAAAGAGCCCTTGGAAGGAGGCTGACTGGCCTGCTTTAAAAAGCTCAAGGTAAGTGGGAACAGGGAACGGGCTTTCAAGAGGGACACTGGCCACGCTGCCTGCTGCCCTGTGTCGGCTGCAGCTGCTAGCTCGGTACTGCTCCTTCGGATACTACATGTTTCACATCCATGGCTTTGTTGCCTGCTGTTTACAATAGAAAGCAACACTGCAGATAGGATTGTGTGTGTGCGTGCGTGTGTGTGCACGTTAACTAATGAAGTGTTTCTTTCCTTTTTTTTTTTTTTTACAGAACTGTCTTGCTTCCAGGCTACATCTCCACTTGCTAACAAGGTAAGATTCAGACTAACCAGTCCCTGGAGGGGAATGTGAGAGCCTCTGGGATGGATCTGTGTCACTTAGCAACCTTTGAGAAAGTGCTGGTCTCAGTAAATACCTTAACAAGTGTACTTCAGGAAAGGTGCTGGAGAAAGAGGGAAGGAGCGGACAATGCACATACGGTCATTTGGGATGCAAGCAATCATTGGTGGGGTGACATTTTGGCAAGAAAATTGCTAATGGAATTGCTAGTTTGCTAATAGAATATTCCGTGGGGGGAAAAATCTGCACTAAGATTCTCTTGCTAAAAATCTCAAATTTAATAAAAATGTATCCTGCTTTTAGAGTTCATTAAGTAAACATGCTCTCTAACATACAAGAAAGAAGGAACCTAGGAAAATGCTTCCTTTAAACTTCATGAAAACTTTTAAGCAGTTACCGTGCCCAGTGCTGAGTGTTGCATGAAATTAAGATACTGCGAATCTTTTGTTACACACGTGAAGGTATTTCTGTGCCCTTTCTACTACTGCTGTCCACCGCATTTCTGAAGGAAGACCCTGGTGGATAGCCGATCAAAATGAGTTTCGAGTAACCTGATCCTGTAAAGACTGCAGTAACATTCTTTGCCAAACCGTTCATTCTACTGATGCGGCTGGCGATCGGCAGATAACAGAATAGAGCAGTCCAAGCCTGCATTCTCCAGAAGGAGATCTGAAAGGGCCAAGGGAGTCCTTCAGTGTAGAAGAATGAGGATAATAATAACATCGAGGGTCAACTAAACTTCAGTGAAATAAATTAAAAATAATTTTTAAAAATGAGGATAACATTTGCTATGGCTTTTATCCTCAGTTAGGTTAATGGATTAACTGGATTTAATATGCAAAGAAATGTTAGACAAACTCTAATAAGCACACAACTAGAGAAAAAGAGGTAAACAAAATTATCATCCCCCAAACCACTGACCTTGAGCGCTTCTGGCTGAAAATCTAAAGGAGGAAGTAAAGTTCTCTTACATTACAGGACAAGAAATGGAATTGTATCACGTTGCAATAAATGACATTTTACATCTAAATGGTAGCCTGCACTATTTCAAACTGCTTTCTGAGTCATCACTTGACCTTTTTCCCCAAAGTATCTGTAGTGTGTCTCACAGGCTGTGAATTAAGAAAGGCAGATGTAATCCCTGTTCTAAAGAGGGAGACACCGAGGCTCAGAAAGATCAAGTGCCTTCCCTGGGGTCACAAGCCCCTCAGTAGCATGTGGAGGCTACACTCAGCTCCCTGATTAGAATGCTAGTGTTGGAGGATGGGAGAAAATAACGCATGTAAAGCCCTGGGTACTATGATGGTTACACAGTGACCCTCGATACATCTGAGACCTTGTGATTATGTTTGTTCCAGTAACTATAGTATGGTGCACAGTGGACCTGCCTGGTGAAATTTCCAAAAAGTGGATTCTCCATGAAATATCATCAGTGCATAGAGATCTGCTGACACACATGGCAGTCCAGAATCTCTAATGTGAAATGCCCCGTCTCCTTTAGGATCTCTGAGCTCAACAGCCATGAGTTCAGACCAGGAAATGGCCATTTTTGGGGAGGCAGCTCCGTACCTCCGAAAGTCTGAAAAGGAGCGCATTGAGGCCCAGAATAGGCCCTTCGATGCCAAGACATCTGTGTTTGTGGCGGAGCCCAAGGAATCCTTCGTCAAAGGGACTATCCAGAGCAGAGAAGGAGGGAAGGTGACGGTGAAGACTGAAGCGGGAGCGGTAAGTAGAGTCCATGGAGCTGGCCACACGTGATTGATGATTTTTGGTTTGGTCACTCAATTGACAAATTGACAAAAAGTTATCCTTCCTACCTACCAGACTCTGACAGTGAAAGATGATCAAGTCTACCCCATGAACCCTCCCAAATACGACAAGATCGAGGACATGGCCATGATGACGCACCTGCATGAGCCCGCCGTGCTGTACAACCTCAAAGAGCGTTACGCAGCCTGGATGATCTACGTGAGCACCCCCTGCCCCAGCCCCAAGTGGTCTTTATCGCCATCACCACCGACCTGCCAGTCTACTGCTTCCACTCTAGTATAAATGGGTCAAAAGTAGTGACCCGTTTCGTTTTCACTAGTAGCGTAACTAGTTCGCACACAAGTTAACTCGTTAGTACATTAGTTAGTTAACTAATTAAAAGGCTCACTATTGCTATTGTGAGGCACAACCCAACAACCAGACTTCATTCTCCATCTTCCCATACAAAGCCAGGCAAGGCCACCATCCATGTGCACTGGGTTTGCCACATGTCCCTTGAACAACAATGGAGCAGCTACTGTTTATGGCTCAACCATGTGCCTACATTTCTACCACTCCCCCCCATCCTAGTTGTACAATCATCCAGAGGGAAATGATAAACTTATGTCTCAACACATAAAAGTGTTTTAAGAACCAAATTTCACGCAGTTACACTCCTCCAAAATAACAGCAACCAGCATCCGTGTGTTCTGGTCCCTTCTACATGAATGCCACCTCCTCGAGTTAACCTCTCCACCTTCCTCCGGCAGAGCAGGACATTCTGTCCTATGGTCTCTGCCCCAGCCACAGCACTGACCTTGGGTTTCCACCGCCATCCATTCACATGTCTGTCCCCTATGTGGACTGGAAACCCAGAGCTCCCCGAGGAATGGCATCTCATTCAGGTTTTGCTCCTGTGCCCTGCAGAGGTCTGGCACATGATACATACCCAGTAAACACTGCAGAACTGAACTTACTACATCACACTGACATTTTTGTGTGCTTCAGCCAGTGCTGCTATGCAGCTGGATGACACCTGCACAGGTGCACCTGCTGCTCAGGGCCAGTGTCCATGCTGACTGGCCAGTGCCTGTCTTACACCAGCTGTCCAAGTTTTTGAAAATCTCCCTGTTTGGTCATAATGTATTCACATCATTCTGTGTCCTGTTTCTTTAGAGCTTCATAGAAATTTGCAAATGTTTCCCCCACATTGCTAAATACGTTCATGCATTTTTAATTTTTTTTAATGTTCTTTACCTTTGAGACAAAGAGAGAGAATGCAAGTGGGGGAGGGGGAGAGAGAGGGGGGGACACAGAATCTGAAGCAGGCTCCAGGCTCTGAGCTGTCAGTACAGAGACTGACACGGGGCTCAAACTCACAAACCGTGAGATCATGACCTGAGCTGAAGTCAGCTGCCCAACCAACTGAGCCACCCAGGCGCCCCCATTCATGCATTTTTAAATGCCTTTTTAAATGCCTGCATCCCACTGTCTTTAGAAGATTTCCTGTAGTTCACCTAACTGCTTCCCTAGTGTTGGGCACTTCGGGTGTGTCCAAACTTCCTTTTTCATGAATTTGAACTATCTTAATGCTGCAAAGGAAATCTATGCATATTTCCTAAAACAGAGTAAAAAAATGTCTCATCCTACACATGAAGAAACAAAACAAAACCAACCTTTGGAGCTCCTGCTATGTGAAAGTCTTGTGATAAGTCCCAAAAGGAATAGTAAAAATTCTAAATTGGGATCCCTCCCCTCATGGATTTTACTATCTCATTATTGAAACTTCCAACTAGTTTTCATGCCAATGCCTTCGAGAAATGTAGGGTACTTACTTAAAGTGCTCCTTTGGGTCAGATTTCATCTAAGTGAAATGCACACCTAGCAGGAGAAGCCTTTGGATAGCTGTTTTTTATTCCCTTGAATAGACCTACTCAGGCCTCTTCTGCGTCACCGTCAACCCCTACAAGTGGCTGCCGGTGTACAACCCCGAGGTGGTGACCGCCTACCGAGGCAAGAAGCGCCAGGAGGCCCCGCCCCACATCTTCTCCATCTCCGACAACGCCTATCAGTTCATGCTGACAGGTGAGTTGAATGCTCTGTATGTTCATAATCTTTTCAGAGCAGAACAATAAGAGAAAGAGACTCTAACCATCTCAACACAGTCTCTGAGCCCTTTGGTTGAGCTGGAGACAGTCCGGAAAAGAGAAGGTGTAAAAGACAACTTGCAATCCCTAACATTACATAATAGATAATGATCTCTTAAACTTTTAAAAGTCAACAGAGGTTGGCCATAGTTAGAGAACTGACTTTTGAGTGACTCAGAAACTAGAAAAACTTGAGCAAAAATTATAAAGCACTGTTTACATGTATGTACACACACACACACACACACACACACACACACACACACACAATCACATACACAGACTGTGTTTCCATTACCACGAGCCAAAAACCAGAAGAGTAAAATCTGCCGCTGTGGCCTTATCCTCAACATCAGAAACTAAGACCAATGAATACCCTCTCTACATCACAGAAGGTGTAAATTCTCTTGCCCTTTGCCCAGAACCAATCTGAACACGGTGTGTTTGGTATTAAAACAGCTACACCATGAATCTTCTTCCTAGAATACTGTCTCAGCTAGCCCAATCTAAGATACTTGGAGAAAGGGTTTAGAGAATTCATCTTGGGAGAGTAAAACAGTAGAACAAACCTTTCCCCCCAAATATGACTAAAGCCATGATTACTTCCAAAGCTATACTTCTGTGCTATATTTACCCCATCCCACATACTGTTTCTTGCACCTACAATTAATACGTCGCTGCTGGAGTTGTCATCTGAACCCAAGTGAAGACTCAAGTCCATTTTTAATATTTCCTTAGTGGTTGAATATGAAAAAGACAAGATCTGGTGCTTGTTTGCAGTGTTCTGTTTAAATGGTTGCACGTATGCTAAAGTCAGCGGTGGGGTGCAGGGAGGGACTGGGGTACACGAAAGGGATACCGGAGGCCTCAGGCTCATGAAGCCCCAGGGATTGCAGAGGCCAGTCTGAAAAACACTAAGTTTGTTCCATTTTACTTACTGCTTACAAATATACAAAACCAAGAAACAAAAAAAAAACCCAGTATTAAATGTCTATAATTTCTCTTTTATAGACCGAGAGAATCAATCAATCCTGATCACGTAAGCAAATTTTATGCTCTCTTCTCATGGCTGTGACAGTTGCCACGTTTGGAACCTCCTCTGACTTAGCTTTTATTTGGCAGCGGAGAATCCGGGGCAGGGAAGACCGTGAACACCAAGCGTGTCATCCAGTACTTTGCAACAATTGCGGTCACTGGAGAGAAGAAGAAGGAGGAAGCTGGCAAAATGCAGGTGGGTCTGGGGTCAGACTCAAGAGGTCAGGGCTCTCAGGAAGTCTGGAGCCCAGACGTGAGGACAGTGCTTGCCTTTGCAGGGGACTCTGGAAGATCAAATCATCAGTGCCAACCCCCTACTGGAGGCCTTTGGCAACGCCAAGACCGTGAGGAACGACAACTCCTCTCGCTTTGTGAGTCTCTTGGTCACTAGTATGGTCAACATTCATGGGATGCTTGTGAAGATGTTCTCTGAATCTTTTCCATTCACATTATATTGCAGCACGAATCTTTCCTTTCCCTCTGAGCACATAACATGGATCCAAGTCCCATCTAAAAAGATGTGACCACCATATATCCGAGTTCTTTCTTCTCTGGTCATTACCTCCAATTATTCACAATTTTAAAATGAAAGATAGGGGCGCCTGGGTGGCTCAGTTGGTTAAGCATCCAACTTCAGCTCAGGTCACGATTTCACAGTTCATGGATTCAAGCCCCGCATCGGGCTCTGTGCTGACAGCTCAGAGCCTGGAGCCTGCTTTGGATTCTGTGTCTCCCTCCCTCTCTGCCCCTCCCCCACTTGCTTGCACACACTCTCTCTTTCAAAAATAAACACTAAAAAATTTTTTTCTAAATATTAACACATTAGCATTCCAAGTGTTTTGAGTTTCTTGAAGATTTGATATGATTGAAAAACAAAGTAGTAATATTAGTTTTCCTTTCAAGGGTAAATTCATTAGAATCCACTTTGGCACTACGGGAAAACTGGCTTCTGCTGATATTGAAACATGTAAGTGCCTGGATCTCCTTTGCGGTCATTTCTGTTGCTTATAACCTATATAAGGTGAACCCAAAGTAAAATTCGCATCCCGCGTGAAGTTTTGCACTGGTCCGCTTGTCATTTGTTTACTTCCAGATCTGTTAGAGAAGTCCAGAGTTACTTTCCAGCTTAAGGCTGAAAGGAGCTATCACATTTTTTATCAGATCACATCAAACAAGAAACCAGAACTAATTGGTAAGAAATGTCATGATCCCTTTTGAGAATGATTACACCAGCACCCTCCATGCATGGTCCAACCTCGTATTCCATGACTGAATTTTGTCAGGTTTATCATCTGGAGTTTGAAAATAGCTTTGTAATTTTACGTGTGCTTATGATAAAAATCCAAAAGAAAAACTGAGGATAACACCCTCAAATCCTATCACTATGAAATAACCACTGTGAACACTTGGGTGGACACTGTTCTAGTAATTTTCTGTATATGCACCTTGAATACAGAAACACATACATACAATAACTGGAATCACAGTTTCATACTCTCCTGTGATGTACTTTTTTCATTGAATAATAACGTATCATGGTTTTTTCCACATCACCAACCGCAGCTGCACATTATTATTTCTAATGGTTGCATAGTGTTATATGGTAGAGATAAGCATTATTTACTTAACCATACCCTTTTAAGGATATTTAGGTTGTTTCCAGTTCTGGATTTTAAAGAGTCAGTGCCGTGCTGACCATTCTTACAGACATAACTTTTCCCAGTATGGGATAATCTTCTTTGGCTTTATACAGTGTCTTAGAATTTATCTAGAATCTCTTGTTTTAGTGAAGGGGATAATTCTGCTTACCTTTTCTCTGTTTCACGTACACAGAAATGCTTCTGATCACCACCAACCCATATGATTACCCATTTGTCAGTCAAGGGGAGATCAGTGTGGCTAGCATTGATGATCAGGAAGAACTGATGGCAACTGATGTAAGTGGAACGCAAGAAAATCAGAATGATGTTGGGTTAGAAGCTATGGTCCCTCCAGATAAATATTCAGATTCTTGTAGAAATAGCAAAAGAGGGTTCAAAGACAAGCATGGATGTGCCACCCAGAGCCAACCAAAAGGATTAAGATGTGTCCCACAACATTTTACTTTCTCTTTTAAAAACCTGTCATTTCTGAATTTACCTAAACCACTTTTTTTGAAATCCACTTAATGAGATCCATACCACTTCTCAAAATAACAAGTCCTTTAAATTTACTATTTTGTTCTTTCTCTTAAGTTTACTTTTTGAATCTTAGAGGCTATGTTCAGTGCTGGCCTTTGGTTGACCAACTCCCCATACACCCACTCTAAAGAGTTCCTTGCACCCCCATTAGCACTGAGAGTTTGACCAACAAGTCAGGAATCAGAATGTGAACAATGCATAGTAAGTGTGTAGATCATAACCTAACAGTTATCTTATTGGTTATGTCGGCAGAGTGCTATTGATATTTTGGGCTTTACTAATGAAGAGAAAGTCTCCATCTACAAGCTCACGGGTGCCGTGATGCATTATGGGAACATGAAGTTCAAGCAGAAGCAGCGCGAGGAGCAGGCCGAGCCAGATGGCACCGAAGGTATCAACCAAGTCAACCACCTGATTTTATTTTTGTTTGAAAATCACATTCTTAAACTTGTTACCCTTGCATTTGTCTAGGAAGACAAATTCATTTTTAAGAATTGAGTTTTAAAGCATACCCAGATAATATACTATGTGAAGCCTCATATTAGATAGATGTTTCCTAACATTAATGAAGTTTTCTAGGGCACACTACCCACAAAGTCTCGAACTCAGTGGGAAAAAAAATGGGCAAGAATGCTCAAAAAGATATTCTGAAAACACTGCATAAAATGTCTATAAACAAACTTTTTTTGAGCAAGTGGGTCACTTTGGGCCATAATAACATTGTTCTACCCTTTCTTGCTTTCAGTTGCTGACAAGGCAGCCTATCTCCAGAGTCTGAACTCTGCTGACCTGCTCAAAGCCCTCTGTTACCCTAGGGTCAAGGTCGGCAATGAGTTCGTCACCAAAGGCCAGACTGTAGAGCAGGTAGGTGCATAATTCAAATTCGTCAACAGGAATTGAGCATTTTTACAGTCCTCTGATAACCTCAAGGGAAATATTTTTGTTTTTCAAGGTGTACAATGCAGTGGGTGCCCTGGCCAAGGCTGTCTATGAGAAGATGTTCCTGTGGATGGTCACCCGCATCAACCAGCAGCTGGACACCAAGCAGCCCAGACAGTACTTCATCGGGGTCCTGGACATCGCCGGCTTTGAGATCTTTGATGTGAGTTGTTGGAATAAGCGGCCCTGTTAAGGCCCCTCCGCTTCGTGTCTGCTCTGCCGACTTCCCCCTGGGTTTCCCAAACTCACTTGAGCTCTTTGGTGTTTGCAACGCCCTAGTTCAACAGCCTGGAGCAGCTGTGCATCAACTTCACCAACGAGAAGCTGCAACAGTTCTTCAACCACCACATGTTCGTGCTGGAGCAGGAGGAGTACAAGAAGGAGGGCATCGAGTGGACGTTCATCGACTTTGGGATGGACCTGGCTGCCTGCATCGAGCTCATCGAGAAGGTGTCCTGATCTGTCCACTCAGTAACCTCGTCTTGTCTACTCTGCGGCTCACTGCTGCAGCTCACGTGTACCTTACACGCATTTTGCTTTGCTTTAATCCAGCCTATGGGCATCTTCTCCATCCTGGAGGAGGAGTGCATGTTCCCCAAGGCCACAGACACCTCCTTCAAGAACAAGCTGTACGAGCAGCATATTGGAAAGTCCGCCAACTTCCAGAAGCCCAAGGTGGTCAAAGGCAAGGCCGAGGCCCACTTCTCTCTGATACACTACGCTGGCACCGTGGACTACAACATAACTGGCTGGCTGGACAAGAACAAGGACCCACTGAATGAGACTGTGGTCGGTCTGTACCAGAAGTCTTCAATGAAAACTCTAGCTTACCTCTTCTCTGGAGCTCAAACGGGTGATGCAGGTAATGCTCAAAAACTGTAACACTTTCTCTAGGTATTACAAAAAGTGATGTTAGCTCAAGGCCAGTTTCAGGATGGCAGGGCCAGACCCATTGCTCTTCCACATTTTGAGTAAATAGGCTGCATTGCAGTCATACATGTGTGTCTCACTCCAGCACTGACAGAGGCCTTACTGTGAATGGTCAGAGAGGAACTATTAGGATCTCAACCAATGAAAAGCCTCAGTTTCTTGGATTCTCTCCTGCTTCTTCCTTCACATCTACTGGATATTGAGTATCTAGGAATATTTAAGACAATGGAGTGACAGAGCTCTCCCTATCTAGACTAGCTTCCACTGATGATTTTTGAAGTTACTGTGTCCCCCAAGTGACCTAACATTAAGGATCCACCTTTATGATACAGTGAAGTGAATCCCTTCATTTCACCTTAAAATGTAGAAAAAAAAATCACAGAAGAGTGGATGCAAGCTTAGTTGACAGGTAAGAGTCACTCAGGCTCCAACAGAGAGGCCAGCAGTGTCCCCCAAAGTGCAGAAGTCGGCAATAAATAAGCACGAAACATCCCTGCCAATTCAAAAGTACACTTGAGTGACACCTTCCCTTATTTTCTCTCCAGAGGCGAGTGGTGGAGCCAAGAAAGGCGGCAAGAAGAAGGGCTCCTCTTTCCAGACAGTGTCTGCCCTTTTCCGGGTAAGGACGAAACTGGGTCTCACACTCCCCAGTTGCTTTAGGAAAATCTGTTTTTCAAAGCACAGACTCTTCTTTCCACAAGTCACTTAGGAAAAGACTGACACTGATTAATGGCTTCTGTTCATCGATGTTTGGAGAGAAGAGGTTCAAATTACTGAGAAATCATTAGCTCGTCTTTCATGACAAGCCAAGTAAAGCCGAATATTTGACAGGAAATTTTGTAAAACGGAATACTCTACCATTCATAATCTAGTCAAGTTGTGAAACTAAGCAATGACATGTACTCAGAGAGACTAAATCATCAGTGAAACTAAGGAAAATCTAGCAGCTAGCTTAGAAGGAACTTAATATGGCATCCTTGTTTTTAGTCCAGTCAATCCTCGATTACAACTGGTAGATTGTTCCCCTTTAGCTAATCTTTCTGCCCTGAAAGGGCAGATATATTTATGAGAAAAAGCCCCATCATGATGTAGGCATGCATGTAGTCACTGGAGAATATGGAGAGTTTGGGAGAAGAAAGTGAAACCAGTATGGGAAGGCTAGTATGGGAAGGCAATGGCCTTATAAATGTTTATGGAAAGCCATGGACCAGGGAGGAAGTAGGACTTTGCTTGAAAAAGATCATGTGTCAGGCTGTGTAACTCCTGCTAACTCAAGTGGAGAAAGAGGGACTAAGGAGAAACCTGCATGTCAGGAGAAGCATGGCAAGGTGTTACCTTACATGAAAATGATTCCTGCTGGTCATTCAACTCAGCCATAGGCATTGATTTTATAGACACCGCCAAATACTCATAACCATATTAAAGTTGGAGATAACAGGATTTTTCCTGATTTCACAGGAGAATTTGAACAAGCTGATGACCAACCTCAGGAGCACACATCCTCATTTTGTGCGGTGTATCATCCCCAATGAAACCAAAACTCCTGGTAAGAAGCTCTAGAATGAAAGCACAAAGCATGACTACCACACCTCCCTTCAAAAAAGATCTCCACACTGGAATAAATATGTATATTTATAGGGGCCATGGAGCATGAACTTGTCCTGCACCAGCTGAGGTGTAACGGAGTGCTGGAAGGCATCCGCATCTGCAGGAAGGGATTCCCCAGCAGAATCCTTTATGCAGACTTCAAACAGAGGTCAGGCTCTCCTAATTACGGTGTATCTTAAAGTTTAATATAAATATACTTATGCAAGCAAAACAATTTAGTGAAAAATATGTCTCTATTTGTTATTTTTGATTTGCCACAAAAAAAGAGTGAAAAGTGATAAGCCTCAAAACACCTTTATAATCTAGACCACATATTTTATACTCCAGACTTTTCATGGGCTTTACCAAGCTCCTGGCTTAGCCCACAGATATATACACTAACTTCAATAATTACGAAAACTATCATTTTTTAATGTGTAAATCTGTTTGGGTTATCTCATTTTACAAAACGTCGGTAGAGGTAAGTCCTATCAACACCTCCTTTTATAGATGAATGAACTTGAGCCTCAAGGAGATTAAGCTACTTGCTCAAAGTCACATGGTTATTGGTGTCTGAGTTAGGAACTCCCCCATGCAAGTATATATCTCCCAGTGGGTCCTTTTCTGTCACTTCCTATCTTCATCTTTCTGTCTCACACACCAGTTTCACAAGGTTTCCCAGAATGTTCACAATACCAGCTCCTCAGCAACTTTCTCCTCCCTAGAGAAGTCCATCTTGGGAGTCAAACAAGAGGCCAAGGGGATAAGGGGCTGGCAGCAGCTCCAGGGAGCTGGTTACATGTTACATTTTATTGGTCATCTACATCTTGGTGTGAATAAGATCACAGAATCCTTTCCTGAGAACAAGGTCTGATGAGGCAGAAAGGAAAGCTACAGCTGTGCAGGAAGGTGAAATGGGGTAAAAAGAGACAGTTGATGCTAGTTTGACCAACTACGTATAGGAAGTCCTTCCTGTGAACAAAGGAGGATACTTTTTTTTAAAGCTCCAATTTTCTAAATAGGTCATTTAATGTTTATCTGCTATTAGTGTCATCATAAACCACCTTAAAAAAAAACCCTATTATTTACTTAAACAGATACAAGGTATTAAATGCAAGTGCAATCCCTGAAGGGCAGTTCATTGACAGCAAGAAGGCTTCTGAGAAGCTCCTTGCGTCCATCGACATTGACCACACCCAGTATAAATTTGGTCACACCAAGGTAATGGTCTCTAAAGCCCACCCGATGCTATCCGTGTCCCTTTGAAGTTTATGTACAGTTTCTGATCTGCAAATCCTCCCCCCCCCGCAGGTCTTTTTCAAAGCTGGTCTTCTGGGGCTTCTGGAGGAGATGCGAGATGACAAGCTGGCCCAGCTGATTACCCGAACCCAGGCCAGGTGCAGAGGCTTCTTGGCCAGAGTGGAGTACCAGAGGATGGTGGAGAGAAGGTATAAATATAAATTATTTATTTATTCACATCTTTCTGCTTCAGAAACACATTTGAGGTGGCTTAAGACTCAGACATGATAAGGCCACTGATGTCAGCAAGAATGAGGAAGAGTCCTACACTGACTCTTCAGGTAGGGGTCATCACTGTGAAACATATTCTGAGTTCAGGGTAAAAGGGGGGGTCATAAAGAGTGGATAGCTCTCATCTAACAAGAGAAAATACAGCAGTGTAAAAATAAACCAGTGTGAATTTAGTTGATAGATCATTAAATTAGACACATTGACTGAACAGCAGACAGTATTTGCAACAGTGATTTTTTTTTTTTTGCACCAGAGTTTAGGGCTTTTAATTTGTCCCAAAGTTGCTGAAGCAAAAATCAACAGCGATTTTTAAAAAAATATTTATTTTTGAGAGAGAGAGAAAGAGCATGGAGGAGGGGCTGAGAGGGGGGGACAGAGGATCTGAAGTGGGCTCTGAACTGATAGCACAGAGCCCGACTTGGAGCTTGAACTCATGAACCGTGAGATTATGAC